CCACGAACCGGTCACAGACAAGTGTTTCTTCAGCAAGTGCAGAGGGGCGATAGCAGCATTTCACAAGCCGGCACAATTCAGCGTATTAATGTCGACAATTTCACCGAGTACTACCTGCATCCGTTTGTTGAAGCGAGACACGAAACAAGCTGCGTATACTATGTTTACTCGCATAATCCTCGCACTTTTTGACGCGGAAAAATGAGGAAAGGGGAGGGGGTGAGAATTATGCGGGTAAATTTTTCTGTGAAAACATACAGACCAAAAAAAAGAAAAAAACAAAGCAGCCGCAAATAGGGGTTCTCACGCCAGCAACTAACTGCAAGCTTTGAGAAGTACTAAGCAAGACATACCTTAACAATAAAATCAAAGGTTCAACACAAGGCAAGATTTACTTGCAGACACAAAAGCCATTACCAAATAGTGTCTCGAGGGTCTTCACGCAGAGACTCTTGATGTAATCAAGAAGTGCCATCTCAACATGTGGATATTTTCCTGTCTTGGGCCCACGTGGCTTTCAACTGCCCCTGCTGCTGTTGCCTATTGCATAAAACTCATCGACGCAAAGTGCCTGCTGGCAGCCCTGTTGCCGTTGTTCAGTGCAGGATCAATCACTTTCAACTTCAAAGCAGCCGTGTAGCTTCCATATCGACCCATAGTGTAACCACAGAATGAGCACAACGTATGTGACGTGGACTAGCACTAACACACCGCAACACGTACGTGCCACTTTGGCTTGGCCTAGATTTTATTAGATGTGAAGCAGCTCTTTGACTAGCCTGTGTAACGCTGTCTCTTACGTCCGTGCGAAACCCCTCGCCACAGATGCTGTAGCGGTGTCAAGCAAGTCAAGTCGCAGCAGCTGCCGGCCCCTCCGCCCGCTCGCAACACACTTCTCTTTTGCTTCACCCTCTCCACCACCTGCAACGCTCGACCGCATGTTGAGTGGAAACACTAGACAGATTTAGTTGCGCGTTCGTAGCAGCCGTATGGACGCAGCCTGTTCGCCATTCGCAATAAGAAGTGCGTCCGTGAGGCTGCTGCGCACACACAACTAAATCCATCTACTCTTTTGGTTCGTTTATCTGCGATGAAACTTACGCGAAACCCAACTCGCCTCCCATGTCTTTGCATTTCAAACGTTTACTCGAGTAAGCGCTACACAGAGTTCTGCTTCAAACTGTTTTTCCAGCACCCATGACGACGCCCGTTTCCACCAGGTCAATGCCGTGTGCACTGCTGCTGCTTTGCATCCCATTCATGGTTCCCTTCGAGAAGATGGTCCACGAAATTTTGTGGGCCTCCGTGCTTATTGTATGCATGATGCTTAAGAGGTGCAGCCCTGTTGCTGATATTCAGTGCAGGATCAATCACTTTCTACTTCAAAACAGTCTTGTTGCTTCTGTATCAACCTGTAGAGTAACCACAGAACAAGCACAATAACGTATGCGACGCAGACTAGCACTAGCACGTCGCAATGCGTACGGACCACTTTGGCATGGCTTGGATTTTATTGGGGCTCTGTGCATTGATAGTATGCATGATGCTTAAGAGGTTTTTCGCTAAACTGTCATGCGCTATCATAATCAATTGTTAGAAGAAGCAGACATCACTGCTGCAATTTCGGAGATGCAATAAATTGCGGGGAATAAGAAATCTTATTTTTGTTGGGCAATGCGGGGAGTGCGAGAATTAAGCGAGTGCGAGGATCACACAAGTAATGTAGTTTATTGATGGGTTGGACAAAGTTTCCGTGAAACACACAACCACAGTGTCATAGGAACACACCAATGCATCATTCGGAAATAACTTTTCCAATAACGGATGAACTTCTGGTCGCATGCAGTACACAATAACATACTTGTACTTTATACACAGCTCAGTGTATTCCTTAAGATGTAGCATAGTCTTCATAACTTGATTTCCTAGAGGGCCTATTTAGAGCATTGGAATGGCGGGATGTATCTGGCTGTTGGAGAGATACACTGAGCCATTTTGTGGAAGGCGCTGTTGTGGTTTGGTCTCATTCAATTACAGTGCGGACAAATCTCGCTTTGAAATGTGCAAAAGCTTACCTGTGCAGCTTAACTGAAAGCATGGCGGAACTGGGCATACGACAACGGGTAGGCTTAACGAGGCACAAGCTGGAATAGTGATATGAGGCGACCAGCCATTTAGAGACCACAATAAAGACTATTTAAATTACATTGCATCGACATATCTGAAGGGCAAATGACACCACCAGTGCGTAGTACCAAAGCACACTAGTACTAACCACGACAGCACTGTCAATATGGCCTCGGTGTTGCCGTTTGATGGTGGTTCTCGGCGTTGGAGCAGCGTAGAGCCGGCACACATGCTAGCTGGGAATCGAGGTGCCAAAGAGGAGGGCGCTCTCAATCCCTACATCATTCAGTTTCCAATCTGCACTTGTGCATGCACCTTCCTTGTTGTTTTTTTCGCACAGTTTCCGTCATAATAGATTACCAACTCTCCCAGCTTGTAGTTTTAAGTAAAAATGCCCACAGGAGCGATGACTTTCAGGTAGTTCTGCGAATGTAGAAACTTAATGAAAACCCTCCATAGGCTCTTCATTAGAACTTTGACTCAACCGACCGAGATAAACTCTGTTAAAATGGGCTGAATGCTAGCTTTAATAAGCAGGGGTGCAACAGTTGCACCAATTGCGTCAATTTGATGCAATGCAATTCTCGATTGTTGCACTGAGCCGCACCAAAACCGTTAATTTGCTGAAATTGTACTGTGCTACATCAAAATGCCCTGCTTGCCTCAAAATTTTCTCAGGCGCACTAATTCAGCGAGAAATGCTGGCCACGTCGGCCACCTGCGGTTTGCACCATCAGTCAAAGCGCACAGACCCTAACTATAGTGCCTAGAATATACCTAAAATATTCTAGGCACCCACCCTACGCTCGCAAGACGGGATCGACCACATAAGTAACAACACTGCACTGCACGCCCATTGGTTCGCTGACAGCAGCGGCTACCTATCGGCGGGACGACAGAACATCAAGACAAAAATGTGTTGCTTTAGCCACCAACACTTTGCGGGAAATGTAAATTTCCTTGCCTGAAAACGCAGCTAAGGCTTCTTAAAAAAATGAAGCTGGAAGCATATGCCGCATTTTACTCGCGCAAACAAGCTCAACGTCCTACGAACACTAGCGTTGCCAGCGACCATGACGATTGACTTAGCAGTGGCACATAAAACTTTTTTTTACTTGAATTTGTGTCGTCCCAGTCACGGTCCTTGCAATAGATGTGTGGTACCATCGCTGAGCCAACGGGTGCGTGCCATTGTTACCTGGGCGAACGCGCCTTGCATTGGAGCTGAAGCGGCTCCTAGTCTCACGGTGAAAGAAAAAAAAAAGGTGGGAAGTGTGTGGGGGGGAAAGCAGTTTGAAAATGTCTTGGCTTGGGATTCCAACCCAAGCAGAGGATGCTGCTTAAACCACCTTCGCCCTGTGGAAAAGCATATTGAGATTTGGGAAGGGTTGGTTAGCGTTAGCCACGGGACACTGCACATTTTGTTCAGTTACTCGTGTATTTGTATGCCGCATAATTCTGAGTACAAGTATTAGTTACCTCTAAATAATCTACTGGCCATCGTTCGGAGCAGTGTACAACATTCCTGCTTCCCTAAGAAACAAACTGAATTGTGCGCCAGTTTTTTTTTTTTTTTTTTTGCACCACCCCTACTTTTCGGCTATATGAATCTCTGAAATTTCAATGTCGCGACTTTGGCAGATTCATATTTAAATTAGCAGAGCCTGTCAAATGATTTGACAGTTGCAGCAAACGTTAATATTGATTTTATTATTGTTTGCTCAGTGGGGTGGTTTGAAATACCACTTTTATGCAGTGCTCATATTCACACTGCATGATTTAAGGGATGTTGAATTGTTTATTGGTATGTTTTATCTAAATGTAAGCCTTCTTTTTTATACTGCTCTAAATTTGGTGTTTCGTGATAAAAAAAAAATGCATGTTTTTCCCCATATTCTGCTCAAAATTGGGATTTTAATGCTCCAAATTGTATTTCGGCTGTTGCAACCTTGTTTAAGTGTACGTAGGGCAGTCGAGTACTTTGTAGCCCTTTTTATTGACACTGCATTCAGGTGAAATCCTGAAACAAGTGGAATATCTTGTAAAAAACTGTTTTCTGTGGCGAAGCAACGGATGCTGGAATGCTCATAACACACATAACGAGGCACGGGTTTCCTTCGCAATTTTAGTTCTGTGGGAATCCTCGTGGACGTTAGTCCTAAGCAAGTAGAATGCGCCAACAGGCTTGAAGTTAGAATGGGCAAATATATTGAGTATCAATTCGTCTACAGACAAGACGGTGTGGAATAGAGTCAATAGATCGCAAAGTATATTCACTTCTTTTGGCGAACAGTGAGGGAAGCGGCCTAGAAGACCAGGTTAACTTAGAACATATATTCAGTTGATCAAACTGTTTCGATACATTTGAAACATGAATAGAAGAACAGCCAAAAGAAAAAAAAGGCACAAAAAAGCGAAGCATGCTGCTGGGGTGTTAGAATGAAATGTTTTTTTGTTCCGGTTTTATTTTCATTCTACTTAAAAAAAGTGTTTTTTTTCTGTTCTGGAATGAACAAAAAAGTGTTCCGCAACATTATGTAACCTTTTCGTGTACAGATAAAATAAAGTTGGGGTAGCTTTAGAGAAAATGTGCGTGAACATATCAATTTTTCTTATAGGTCAATTCTCTGGAAAGGCCAAATGCTTGGCATCAAGAGAGTGAGCATGATCTTAGAAGCAGCACCTTGTTGAGTGTAGTGTGTGATATGCGGGACCACTGTTCTAATGAAACAAACTTCACCGCCGACAATGCCCGCTCCACGCTGCCACACCAAGGTCCACTTGCGCATAATGTAAACAGCTCTAGTTGTCACTCATTTCGTTTTTTGCAAAATTTTAACGCATCTGGTAAATCTATAAACTCTTTGCTGCAGATCCTTACCACTGGGCGTGGCTGCCTATGGCCAAGGTGCCTTTCTCTTCGGAGACACGTGACCTAGTTCTACCACAGCTTTCGGACATGAACTTTGTGCAAGAGATGTGCGAGGAACTTCATGCTTTATTTAAGGTGAGTTCGAGGGTGACATCATATGCAACTCAAAGAAAGGTATGCAGAACTGAAAGCATTCAAGACATGATCCAACATGTATTCAGTGTTATTCATCGCTGCTTCCTTCAGTCTTGTAAGACCATTACTAGTGGGTCCATGTTGTAGATAACATTTGATGATTTAGCTTGTAGGGCAGTTGCTTATTATTTTTCTGTTCTTTGTGTGTGCCACTGTGGGGGGTTGGATGGGTGGCATGTGTTTGTAAAGTTGTGATAAATTTGGGGCAGCTTTGCACTAGCGACACTTAGGCTGAAGGAACAGCAGAGCTGGGCAACCTTGCTTAGAAAATGTAGGCTTAACTTGGATTAGCAAACTGCCGCCACCTGGCACATGCAGATGGACCTATTTGTTCCCCCCCCCCCTTTTTTTTTCTTTTTAAATTTTTTTTCTTATTTCGATTATGGTTGCAGCAAAATGAAAGTGAAATGCTAGAGGCCTCTGTACTGTCCAGTGTCGGTGCACATTGTAGGACATGAGGTGGTCAAAATTTCTGGAGTACTCAACTACTACAGGCATTTTAATATTATCATGTTTTTAGCTCGTAAAACCCCAGATATTATTAATATTGTTCTCTCAGTGGTGCACTGCCGTTTACTGTGGCCCCCTTGTCCTTTATTCTTCCCCACTTTCCCACTCCCTTGGTGTATGATGCAATGCACGACTATGCTATGATATGAGCTGCTTGGCACATGACAGCTTTCTGTGGTGCATATCTGTTCCTGTACCTCTCACCGCCTCCTTTTCTTCCTTCACACTCTCACTTCGCTCTCCCACTTAGCATGACATGACGCATGTATAGGTTTGCTTTTGCCATGCACATGACCTGGATTTAGTTGGTTTCAAAGCAACATTTTTTTAACGCTATATGCTAAAAGCTGCCTGAGGAGCTTTTTTTTCTCTCTCTCTTTCTCTGACATGAAATCAAAGCAAAGCCTGTTTTGAGTGTTGTAGCTTGTATCTGCTTCAGTGTTGAAGGTACTATCTTTGAATATCTTAAAACATTCACTAACAGGGGATACATGCTGAGCGAGCTGATGTTTCAACAAGTGGACTTTTCTTAAAACTGATTTCCTTAGCGTGCATGCTTCGTACCCTTTCTTATGATCCAAACAAAGGAGGACGAGAGGGTAATTGCGGAAGAGAAAGGCTGCCATGACAAATCGTGCCAGTCAAAGGAGAAAGGGGAGGTGGTTAGATATTCTGCTGAATTATGGTGGTCGGAGGATACACTAGGAATTATTGAGAGAAAAGATGCTACTCGAAGACACTTTTTTTTTAATATTCACCCCAGAGCAATAAAACTTAAGCTGTTTATAGAACTTTTTTTGCTGATTTAAAATGTAGAAATAGTCTTCTTGTAAGTTGCATATTTTTAGCTCTGCAACATGACAAAGTGAAAAACTTAACCTTTTTGCCCCCCCCCCCCCCTTCCACTGTTTTCATCACCAAACTGCCATAATTTTTTACCATTTATAATTCATAATGTTTTAAATAAGTGTACAATGCAATTAACTAGTTAGAAAACACATACAGAATATGTAATAGACGTGAAAAAAATAGACATTAAAAGTCCATATTTCTCTTACCCTAGTAAAGGTTTACATAAATGTTTTATTGTATAATAGAGATATTTTAATTAGAACTAGATAATTGCGTTTGTCATACTATAGAAGAAATTTGGGCGAAATTTCATTCTGATCCGAGAAACGGAATTATCCGAAAAAGAAGGGGTTCCTTGGAAAAAAAAAAAAACAAGCTATATCGGTGTTTTGAGGTTTTATTCATGAGTTTTTATTTTTATTTAAAATTGAGTTTTTACTTATGAAAAATGTAATTAAATGCAATGAAATTCGCACACAAAAAAAGAACTATACAGTCAACGACCGATTTTTCGGAGCCTTAAGGGACCACGAAAATGTCCGAAAAAATAGAGCAGTCCGAGAAAGGAAATCTACCCCCAAAATGCTTAACTTATTGCTTACTATTGGTATAGAGGGCGAAAAAAGTGATTGATCGTCTTCGGGACCGTGCTTCGCTTCTGTGCGAGCACGTCTGCCTGCATTTAGGCTAGAGTTGCCGTGTCGCTGTAAACTGATGAAAGGTTCGCAATCGCTTGCGTCAGCTGAGCTTGCGTCTGCTGAGCTGCTGCAGGTAAGTCGTCGTTGTCATCCTCGCTCTCGGACTCTGCAAGCATTTCACAAATTATTTCCTCATTCATGAGGCCAGTGCTCAGTTCCGGCTCGCTGTTCATACACGCAAACGTGGAAAACGAAACATTTGGAGAAATTTAGACGCTTGCAGTGCGAAGGTCGCCAATGAGCACCTCGCTTCCGGACACCTGGTTGACGATGCTGTCCTCATCCAATGTGGCCGACTCGCCATTTAGTACAAGTCCTGCGTGGTGAAAACAGTTGCACAGCGTTATCGACGCCATCAACTGAGTGCACTTTTCCACTGTCGAGGCACACCACAGCATGCAAAAGCAAGTGTGGCCAATAGTTCACTTTCAGAATGCGTATGACACTTGTAGTGTTCAGTGGCCAGAACTCGGCGCGCACAGCCTTTAAGTTGTTTATGTGCCCATGTGCAGGGCAGTTGTCCACGAACAACAAAATTTTCTGGCCTTCTATATCAAATTTGCGATCTTGTTTTCTCTGATAACTTTCGAAAAATCTGCTGAGTTACCCAGGTCTTTTTGTTGGCCTCGTGCAAAGCAGGCAAAGACTTTACACCTTTGAGGCACCTCGCAGCTTTCAACTTGCCGATGGTGAGCATCAGCAGTTGTTTTGTGCCCTACATATTGCTGCCGATTAGCACAATAACTCACTCCTTGTTGTGTTTGCCACCATGGCAAGGTTCACCAACAAAGGCAAGAGTCTTTCTTGGCATCAGTTTGAAAAAAATTTGTCTAATTTGGTCTCGTCACAGTTGAAAGTATCGTCTGGCGATTACTGCTGTAAAAGGGACTGCAGCTTTTCAGAGCGGTAGTTCACAACGGTGCTAAGGTCGACAGCTGCACTTCTGCCGGACAGTTTTTTAAAACTGGCATCAAAGTGCTTCTTGAAGTTCTTCAGCCAGCCGTCACTGACCTCAAATCCTTCAATGTTCATTTGAAGGGCCATGGTGGTGGTGAAACATTTAATAACCATTAAATGGTTACAGAGAGGTGATTGGGTTAGGGCCTTATTGGCCTTTTACCCTTGCAGCACTAGGTGGTGGAACCCCTATTCCGGAGCTCCAATGGCAAGCAACGCCGCCCGCGCCCGTTGAACCAGAACCTTTTGGGCCTTCAGGTCTTGACAGCCGAGCAGGGCCGCCTCCCAGTCCTCTCTCGTGGGGTTGGGGTTAGGGGATATAGATGGATTAGACTGGCACACCCAGACGATGTGGAAGGTGTCGGCCACCTCACCACAGAACTGGCATGTGCCATCAAAGGATGAAATGAAATGTTTTAGCACCGCCAGGCACAGTACAGTATTGGTAAATTGTTTAAAAGGAAACGCTCGTCAGCGCGATGCAGTCCCTTACAAGGGTCTGGATAGCGCCGGTGCTCCTCCTTGTAGTAATTGGTAATATCTTTGAATGAAAGGGCCGAGTTGTCTGATTGGGAGTAGCCTTCCAAAGACAGAGAGATAGCCCGGGAAGAGAGTGCGCGGGTGACCTGATCGGCCTGGTCGTTACCCCTGAGTCCTTGGTGACCGGGTGCCCAAACCAGATTTCGCGGAGTTAGATTAACTTATCGGCAGCTAGGTTCCAGTATGCGCTGAGCAAGCGGCGAAGCCCACCCTAACTGATAGTTCCGACAGGCCCCTCGTGAGTCGGTGATGATATGTTTAGAAGAGGGATAGGTGAGAGCCAGAGCGATGGCAATCTGCTCGGCGTGTGTTGCGCTGTAGGCTTTGAAAGTGAGCTTGTTTACGGTATTTGTGTTGTGTATGACTGTGGCCGTATACCACCCCCCATGGTGCGGGCCGGCAATGTCTACGTAGCACACGTGTTCCTCTTGACCAAAGTGTCGCTGCAACGTTTCCGCGCGCGCCTGGCGGCGGCCACTGTGGTTTTCTTTGGACATGTTGAGGGGAAGGGGTCGGACACGCAGGGCGCGTCTCCAAGGTTCTGGCACTCTCACCCTTTCCTCAATATAGTAATCGTGTTTGATGTGTATTTGGTCCAAGAGGCGGGGACCGGAATGGGTCTGTGCAAGGCACGTGTATTGGTTAACGAGGTGGGCTTCTCGAAGTTCCCGGTAGGTATTCACCACGCCTAGGGCCAGAAGTCTGGTTGGACGTGGTGATAGGGAGGTCAAGAGCCCGCTTGATAGCTTTACGGTGGATGACCTCGAGTTGATCATCCTCGTATTTGCGTAGGTGCAAGTAGGGAGCCGAGTAGAGTATTCTACTCGTTACGAAAGCATGGGCAAGCCGCATTGCATCCCTGCTTCGCAATCCGCCCCGCTTGTTGGAGACCTGGCAGACCATACGGCTCACCTGGTCTCCCACCATGCGAAGTTTGGCTATTGTGGTGTCGGCCTTGCGTTGGTGGTGTATGGAGAGGCCAAGGATGCGGATCTCCTTGGCCTCATGGATCGGTCTCGAGGGAAGACTGATAAGGAGCTGAGTTGTGTCCTGAGGGGAGGGACGTACGTGCACAAATTCTGACTTAGCCGGGGCACACTGGAGTCCGCAGTAGGTTGCGTAGTCATTGACTACAGTCGCTGCTGCTTGCAGGCATGACTCCATGTGACCCAGGTTACCTTGCGTGACCCAGATCGTGATATCATCCGCGTAAAGAGCATGATGTATCCCTGGTAGAGAAGCCAATTTGGGGGGAAGATGAAACATGGCTATATTAAATAGGAGGAGAGAGAGGACCGCGCCTTGAGGAGTTCCCCTCGAGCTGATGACGTAAGGCCCATGTTCCTTATCTTATATGCGTATGTAGGCTTGACGGTGTGTAAG